CCCCAAAACCCCCAAAACCCCAAAACCCCAAAACCCCAATATCCAAAATTTGTATTGAATATTTTATAATAAATGCTGGCCGCTAACAGACTAACAGGGTGCTTCAGAGTTATCCAAAGAAGCTATAGATATTTTTCTAGACTAGAAAAGATTCGAATAGACACTAGACTGTCTAGCATAGTCCCAATGGAAACTCCTCATCAAGACATGGAGATACTTCAGAGTGACAAGGCAACCAGCTTGAAACTTAAGATGATCGAGGAAATTAAGGAAAAAGGACCAATGAGCATTGCAAGGTTTATGCATCTCTGTCTTGCTGATCCTCAATATGGATATTATACTACGAAGGATGTCATTTTTAATAAAGGTGGCGATTTTACCACCTCTCCAGAGATTAGCCAAATGTTCGGAGAGATAGTTGCTATATGGTATGTAGCGGCAATGCAGAAATATACGAACCTGAAGCATTGTAACTTTGTAGAATTCGGCCCAGGAAAAGCGACTTTGATGTGAGACATGCTTAGATCCTTCTCCCAGCTAAATGTTCTGAGCAACATGACATTTAATTTAATTGAAATATCTGAGAATTTGCAAGAAGTCCAGAGAGATAATATCATTAAAACTCTCAAGAACAGAGGTATTTATGTTTCGATAGACATGGAAACCCAGAACTTGTATGAAGATTCCTTAAACATCCACTTTAAATGGAGTGAAAATATTGATAAGATCAAGGAGGAAGAAGCCAAGAAACTTAAAGAAATATCGGACAATGCTAAAGCTAGCTTTCTCAGTTTGAGGAGAGCTATTAAAAATGAAAATCCATACTTCATTATGGCTCATGAATTTTTCGATGCTATTCCTGTTTACCAATTCATTTATGATGAATACAGAGGATGGTTAGAGAGAGTCGTAGATATAGATAAAAATAAGAAAAACCAGCTTGACATTGTGGAGTCAGAGAAGCCCACACCAAACGTAAAGAAATTGTTGCAACCTGAAAAGACTTTTAATACTCAAGAAATGAGAGACTCGCTAAAGACAGGAGATATGATAGAAATTAGTCCGCAATCTCAGAATATCATGACAGATATTGCGGAACTTATTAGCATTACTAAAGGAGCTGGGCTCATTATTGATTATGGAGAAGATCAGGCACTAACTCACTCTGTCAGAGCGATTAAAAAACATAAATATCTTAGCGAGCAAGAAATGCTTCGCCAACCGGGGAAAGCAGATGTTAGCGCATATGTTAACTTTAGGGCTCTAAGGGATATTTCTGAGAGAGTCCCTGGTTGAATTGCAAAAGAGCCTATGCCTCAGGGAGCTTTCTTAGAATCCCTTGGAATGGGGCTTCGGTTGCAAGCTCTTGCTAAAGGAAGCCAAGGAAGACCAAATTCAAAAAAAATAATTAAGAGTCTTGAGGATGAATATCTTCGTCTGGTTCATCCGGACCAGATGGGAGAAATCTACAAAGTTCTTTTTATAGGCAACAAGCATATTGGAGAAATCTTTCCTTTCAACACATCTGAAAGTGTCAAGGATGAATATGAGTAATTGTAATTCAATTGAAGACTCGAGCTTTGGGGTTTTGGGGTTTTGGGGTTTTGGGGTTTTGGGGTTTTGGGG